CCTCCAATCCAGACTAAACAAGGTCGTGCGCGTGACGGCGTGCGGCCGGGCCGGTGCAGGCGCGGGGATAAATCAGGTAGCGGTGGTGCGGGTGCCTCGGCCTCTCTTCCGCCTGGTTACTCTTCCTCTCCTGCTCGAAGCACTTGGATTCAAGCGCGCTTGTGCTTTCCGTAATACAAAACCAGGGATTTTTCCAAAATTATGCCGGACAGAGCTTCCAGAGGCTGGAATAAAGGCTCAGGCTCTTGGATCTGCTCGGACATGGCTCCGTGTGCTCGGAATGTGTTTGCAGCCCAAAGCGCTGCAGCTGCTGAGCTCCGTCCCTTTGCTCTCTGCAGTTCATTACAGCCGGGGGTAATTGGTGCCCTGGATCGCATGCAAACGCTTCCACTACTCCAGTGAGGGAGAGTCTTAAAATGGAGCCAAAGTGGGTTTGCTCGGGGCTGCCCGGGGAGGTGCTGCCCCTGTTGAGCAGGGGGCTCCAGCTGCAGCCCCCTCTGCGCTGCCCCTGGGCTGCTCAGGGTGCAGCACCGTCCCCCCCAAACCAGCACATTCCTGTGCACCCTGTCCTTCGGGCTGGCGGGTTGGGGTGCTGCAGAGCATCCCCTGGAGACCCCAATGAGCCGAGGGCACGTCTCCGGTTCGAAGCCCACGCAAGGTGCTGCAGCAGGGGACAGGGCGAGGGATCATGACCATGGCCCTTTGCCCAGACCCAGGTGCCCATGAGCGGGGACAAAATGGCTGTAGGGGGGTGCCAGGTCCTGCTCGCAGAGCTGGGAGCTGCTGCTGGGCTCGGGATGGTGCATGGGGGTAAAATCCTCACAAGACATCCCGCAGCCCCGCTTCCCCGAGGGGTCCATGCTGGGGGACCCCTGTGCCTGTGGCTCCCCGTACCCCAGGCCTGCGGGGAGATGCCCAACGTGCTGCTTGTTGGATTCAACGTCACCAAGACCCAGTCTGTGGACATGGTGTTGGGAGGTGCCTGGGTGGCACTGCCACGCAGCTGGTGGTGGCAGGGCTGGCCCCGGGGGCTGTGGGCTGGGGATGGGCTCAGCCCGGCCTGGCCATGCTCACCTTCAGCTCCTGGAGCTTATATAAATATATAAGTATGTACATATATATACACACACATATATATGCATATAT